AAAATATATATATATTTTTTGGAGAAGTCACCTCCCAATAAATGTCATTTTGGAAAATCTAACTGCTCACTTTTACTCAGTATTTTTACTTTTAATACTTAAGTAGATTTTGTGTCAGAGATTTAATTTTGATACTTAAGTACAAAACATATCAGATACTTTAAGACTTTTACTCAAGTAATATTTTTAGAGAAGCCTTTAACTTTTACCAAAGTATTTTTATGATAAGATACTTGTACATTTACTCAAGTATCACTTTGAGGTACTTTATACAACACGGGAAACACTTACAGATTGTGGTGATAACTCTTTGTTATGCTGTAATTTGTACAGTAACATGAGTGATCATAAACACTTCTTTCCCCACTAAAACCACTTTATGTGTTTGCGATTGACCTTTTACACAGCAGGCTATTAAACACAAAGCTTTGAGATTATTGTTGAAGGTTTTAAAGAGATGAAAAACAAAATGTTGTTTACTTAAACACTCCGCTTTGGGACTTTCTGAGGACTAAATCAATATTGCAGCAAAATGTTGCTGAAATATCGATTATTGATTATGAAAACAGCAGAGCTTTTGCTGGGAAATGTAATGATTAACAAAAAAGAAAAAGCAGCTTAAAAGACTAAGTTCCAGTGGTTTGTGTTTGGAAAGACTCACCATGAGGATTGACGTGGCTCTGCAGCTCAGCCTCTGTGCTCTGGCTCTCCCTCTGACTCTTTTTGATGGAGGACTGTACGTATCAGATTTGGTTTAAACAGCTATAATGTCTCTAGAGTTTATTTTACATGATGCGTGTGTACATTTACCAGGGGAGAAGTACTTCCTGACCCTCCGGCCGTGAACTGTGTATGGGGCCGCTGGACAGAGTGGAGTTCCTGTGATCCTTGTACAAAATACAGAGTAAGTTTTTTTAAAGCTGGGAGTCATAAAGTGACCACAAAGCTTCATTTGTCTGCAGAGGCTGAGTTTTACTTGCCTCTCAGAGTTAAAGTTAAATGTAGCTGCTTATGTGGCTGAAAACATAAATGGCTTGTGTTTTTATACGTCACACCTTCAGGAGGATTTTAAAACCATTTCAATTTAGTTTTCACACAGGAGCTCTGAGTCTGTAGACCCATAACAAGCATGGAAGCTGTTAGCAAATCAGATGCTAAAGCTAAAATAAGCAGAACACTAGGCAAAAGTAAAAAAGCAAAACTGGCACTAGAGCAGATTTAACGATAGAGTGGCTAATATAAAAACAAATGTACACAAATGTGGCGGCACGGTGGCTCAGTTGGTAGAGCTGATGCCTCTCAGCAAGAAGGTTGCTGGTTCAAATCCTGGCCCGTGTGCCTTTCTGGGTAGAGTTTGCATGTTCTCTCCGTGCATGCGTGGGTTCTCTCCGGGTACTCCGGCTTCCTCCCACAGACCAAAAACATGACTGTTAGGTTAATTCAGGCATGGGTAAACCTGGTCCTGGAGGGCCGCAGCCCTGCATGTTTTACTTGTTTCTCTGCTCCAACACACCTGATATGAAGG